ATAAATTAAATAATAGCATTATTATTTTATCTTTAGACGTGACTTAACCGAAAGAACCAAAGAATAATTCCTGCAGTCACGAAAGCTCCAAAATTAAGATCTTAAAGTGACTATGTGACTAAGTGCAAACAGAAAATCCAAGAAAAGACAGCAAAATATTGCAGAAAAAAAGCACCGTACACCAACGCTGTGTGCAAAAATCCCAGTGGGATGCAAGTCAAACAACAACACGACTCCACGTGCATTGCGACGTCCTTCCGTAAGTGCGGCTCGCTCAACCGGCACTTTCGTCAATTTTCTTTGCCAGATAAGGACCCCCCCGCGGTATACGCAGCTAGTTTTCAGAAGCGACCCGGCCGCAAATAACGAAGTGGCTCGTTAGCACGCGCACATTCGTAGCGGCCAAAATAAGTCCAAAACGCGTGGCATGTTCATTCTCCACGTGGACGGGAGGGGTGGGGTGGGGGAAAAGAAAATCGGAGGATTCTAGATTTGAAGCTTTCGTGACTGCAAGGATTCATCTTCTTGGTTCTTTCGGTAAAGTCACGTAGAAGGGAAATAATAAAATAATAAAAATATTACATAATAAAATAATTCTCACGACGTTTCGGCCACAACGCAAGCAGCCGTCCTCAGGTGAAGAACAGGTTTGTCGGTCTGTCGGGAAGACAGACGCTGTCTTCGCGACAGACCTGGTCTCCACCTGAGGACGGCTGCTTGCGTTGTGGCCGAAACGTCGTGAGAATTATTTTATTATTTCCCTTCTACGTGACTTTACCGAAAGAACCAAGAAGATGAATCCCTGCAGTCACGAAATCTTTCAATCGAAATATAAACGTCGTGATTTATTATTTATTCTAATCATTACTTTTATTATTTTAATTTAGTTATTTTACCTACGTGACTTTACCGAAAAAAACCTAAGAGTAAGAATCAGAGGACCCCGGATAACGATCCACGCGGTCACGGACAGAGAGACACGCAAATATGCAACGGGCATTGTCAGGGTCGGCATCGAACCGACGACCTCGCTACACAGGTAGCTCTTGCC